AAGCACTTATAGTTTTCGATGAAAATTCAAATATGATTTCAAAACCAACGGAAGTGGCAATCGATTAACGCTTTGACGCATCAAATATGAATAGCTCTCTTTGTCCTCTTCCACCACTTTCTTCTTCACCTCTTCGTGTTCATCAGCTCTGGTCTCATCGCCAGAGACTGTACTCACCATTTCGTGATCACAACTACTCGTTGAAGAATCCGAGTCAAAGTCGGCGAGTGCTATGCGCTTGAATATAAGTCCAGTCGCCCGACGGATACGGTTTAACGGGTATATCGGAGACGATGTCGAAGAATTCGAAGCTCGAGCTCCAGAAGTGTTACCATTCAATGGCTGAGAGGATGGGTTGGGATCCTCTTCATCGTCTGGTATGTCAAACATATTATATGTGTTAATACAATCAATCACTTAATAAACAGCAATAATATAAGATATGATACACACCTGTAATACTGATACTCCGTTTAGTACGTTCAGTGACTTCGGTGTTGACTTCGGTGGTGGTTTCGGTATTGGCTTCGGTCGTGTCTTCTTCGTTATTATCCTCCAAATCCATTTGGTTTCGATGTCTTTCCTCAACTCTCACCTCATTATCAACTGATTCTTGTCGACCCGTTTGATCATTTGGTTCCGAAATATCAGTTAAATTATTATCCGAATCGCGATTATTAACCACTTGTTGAAAGACAGCAGACAATGAAGAGGCGGCGGCCGCCACAACACGGCTCGAGAACGAGTCATTAGAGTTGTCGCCATTAGTGTGTCTTTGGTTTGATGTACTATTGGTGTCGTCACTCATCGCATCATTCTCTTCAAAGATGGGAATAATTACTCGACGATTAGTTCTTTACGGCTCGAGAACGAGTCATTAGAGTTGTCGCCATTAGTGTGTCTTTGGTTTGATGTACTATTGGTGTCGTCACTCATCGCATCATTCTCTTCAAAGATGGGAATAATTACTCGACGATTAGTTCTTCGCGGCGGACGTCTTCCTCTTTCACTGTTTCTAATCTTTTTAGACATTTTTCTGTTTTTGCAGACATTCTTCAAAGTGATGGATGGCTGCTCTGCTTCCGCTTTCTTACGTAAATGAGTTCTTATAACCGAACGACACATTTCTTTGAGGGAAAGCGGTTCCAAATCAGCTGAGAGTTCATACAAATAGAAATCATTTTTTAATAAAAACTATACATGATTTGCGGGTAAAACAATAGTTAACCTCAATTAGAGGAAAACAATTTGAACATTGAAAATAAATGTACAAAAAAGTCTCATAAAAACATTCTCCATAAGCTTAACATAACAACAGGAATAACAATATCCCATAATATTATTATCTAACTTTATTATTTATTATCCAAATCTTTTCACAATCTTTGCAAAAAGGGTTTACATTAACATTAAGTATAATAAGGAATTGTTTACCACAAGAGGTGAAGGAGGGAGAGAAAGGGGTAGAGAGATCTATATAAACCTAAATGATGTGTAATTGCTATTAAAAATGTATGTAAGGATAACTCACGTAATTTAACTGATTTAAAGGCGCTGTTATGTGTGGGCGTAACCAAAGGGGCGAAAGAGACCGGAAGTACAGATTTGACAATCCAAGAGGTGTCAGATGTTCGCCGTATTTGAAGCAAATGTTCATTCAATGGCATAATAAGAATGCCTCCGACTTTAATCAGGTTTTTCATATAATTCTCGTGTTCGGGAGGACAGGAGGCGCCGCAATAGACTCTATCGTATTGTCTCATCGATGCCGTGTCGATGAGAAGACAGTTCCCAACTCTGAACTTTGGTTCGCAAAACTCGTATTTATCGATAGCCGGAGAACTTAACCGAAATTTATACAACTTTTCATTTGCGTAATCGACCACATCTTCGTGTAGCTCAACGCCATGGCTGACACCATAGGGGCCCAGAATGAGGCCAACCATTGTACTCAAATATCCCGTACCACTGCCCAGATTCAGAAACGATAGGCCCGGCTCTAAGTCAAGCGCTTCCATCACTTCGGAGTAAATACACGGAGCTATCGGTCACATACAGACACACATTGTTATACTGTATACAGACATAGTGTTGCATACAATACCAGAGAGGTGTAGATTTCCGTGTTTCCACGCCAGGTCTCGGTAGGCATTCTCAGCGCATCCGTCCGCGTAATACGAGGCCCGATCCACCGCTCGGAAGATACTCTCGATTTTAAGCGACTTTATATAATCCGCTTCAACCAAGTTGTCTATCAACTCGTCGTTGTCTTCGCCCGCACTCACCGCTCCTCCCATTGATCTCTACTTCCTGTCAACTCTTTACTGCTATTTAAATCGCAAAACAATATATAACTCAAAACAAATTCAAACCTAACGAGACTTAAATGACTGCACAAAACATATTGATTGCAAATATATTAAAATATTTAAAAATTAATTAAACTCAATGTCGAAATCAAAATAATAATAAATGTATTGTTTTTAATCAACAATAAGACCTCAAAATAAGGCTAATTTGACATTTCATAAGTCATTACAATTAGTGAATACAAAGACAATTATTTATAGGAATTATGTTTTAATGAGTTATGAAATACTAAATACGAGTCAATATTAAGGCAAATAATTAATTTCAGTTATCCTTCACTTCATTTGCAGTGAAATCACATGAATTTGAGGCAAAAGTGGCATCAATTGAATGCATAACTCTTTCATACAAATGTATATATATTTATGTTATTCAACGGTGAGTACACTATAAGAGTAACAGTAATACACTCTACTGTAATGTGTATAACATTATTGTTATAAACATTGAAAAACTTAAAGCAACAAAAAATTGTCACTCAATAGAAAGTGAAGCGGAATTTGTAATCAAATGTTTATATCATATCTAAAAGCAAACAAAACTTTGAGTTTTGGTTTCGTTTTGAATTGAGTTGAAAATACGATTAAAATGCAAATCAATAAAAACTTATAACAAAAATAGTATTGCGATTGAAATGAATGTCATTTTGTGTGCAAATTATATGCAAATC